GGCAGGCAGGCACTATTGCCACTTAAGATTAATCTTGATTTTTTTCTCCACAATAAAACAAAATGTCCCAAAAAAAAAAAAAAAAGAAGAAAGTGAACTGAGGCCATGAAGTTAGCCTTTAAATTCCGTGGCTACTAGGTTATTCTGTGTATGGTATGCACTTGTTTGATTTCAATGAGGGAAAAGTATTATTCAGGTTGGCAAAAGCAAGAAACAACTTGATAAAAACAAGCAGGCTAACAATCTGAATTCATCAAATTAAAAACAGGGAAAAATAAAAGCAACTGGTACCACATTTGCTCAAAGATCCCTGCTCATCCACCTGAAAGGAAGTAAAAAAGCTCCCTAGATTTTGTAAACAAAACACAAGATTGAAATTCAGAAATGGTTTTCCCTGCTGGGTGTCATTCATGACAGTAATCCCAGCACTTGGGAGGCTGAGGCAGGAGCACTGCCTCTAATTTGGGACCAGTTTGGGCTACATAGCTCATCTCAAAAACAAAACACAACAGGGGCTGGGGATTTAGCTCAGTGACATAAGTGCCTGCCTTGCAAGCACACAGTCCTGCAGTTAAAAAAACAAAGATTAAAAAAAAAAAAAAAAAAACAAAACCTCCATGATTTCCTTAATTAAAACATTAAAAGTCAGGGGTGGTGGCTCACGCCTGTAATCCCAGCACTCAGGAGGCTGAGACAGGAGGATTGTCGGAGTTTGAGACTAGCCTAGACTACAAAGTGAGCTCAAGGCCAGCCTGAACTGCATAAAAAGACCTTCTTGTCTCAAAAAAAACAAAACATAATAAACAAACAAACAAAAATTAAACAAGTCAAAGACTCAAGTATAGTGAGTGGTACATGCCTGTGTAATCTCACTGAAAATGGAGACCCTGATTCTAACCCCCCAAAAAAAGAAAGAAAAAGAAATCTTGAAGTTTCTCTAAATATGATTAAAAATTTTATTTAGTAGGATATGTGTTTTAAAAAATACATCATATGTCAATGCAAAATTTTAAAAAATATAACAGTTGATGGGCTGGGGATATTACTCAGTGACACAAGAGTCCATCAGCCAAGTGCTAGGTCATGAGTTGGATCCCTGGCACCACAAAAAAAAAAAAAAAAAATTAAATTTGGGCCCAATTTCTACTACCAATCAAGAAGAAACTTGTAATTATTAAATGCTATACTGCATTTCAACCTACGTTTAAATAAATGATAATCACCAACACTGGTAAGAAGCTGTACCTTTTTACATATTCTCAAAATAGCTAATGTAATTTTCCAAACTGGGCATGGTAGTACATGACTGTAATCCCAGCACTCTGACAGGCTGAGCCAAGAGGATCCCAAATTTGAGTCCAACCTAGGCAATTGACCAAGATTCTGACTCAAAAAAACAGAAAAAAGCTGGACGTAGTGGCTCATGCCTGGAATCCCAGAACTTCATAGGCTCACCTCAATTTCCAAGCCAACCTGGGTTACACAGTGAGTTCAAGCCCAGCCAGAACTACACAGCAAGACCCTGTCTCAAAAAAGCTAAAAAGAAAAGCAGGACAAGGTCAGGGGGTAGCTCAGCATAAAGGCCCTGGGTTCAGTTTCCAATGCAGACACAAAAATCCTAATGTGATTTCTTCAAACTAACAATATACTGGGCCTTGTGGCCCATACCTGTAATTTTTCAGGAGACTCATCAAGAGTTCAAAGCCAGCCTGGGCTACAGAGTGAGACCCTGTTTCAAAAACACCCAAACAAAAAAACAACATCTTGTACTTATGTACCATTTTGGGTCTTTTCACCAGTAAAATCATTCAGAAAGGTAACAGAGGAATTACCATTCCCCCCATTATACAAATAAAATAAATGAAGACCAGATACGTCAAATGACCAGCTCAAGGTCACACAGGTACTTACTGGCAGTGAATGATCTTGCAATCTAGTGGTATCTTCGATAGAAAGATGCCCTTAAAATTTTAGGATCCAAATACCTTATCCAGATAAGAAATCTTAAGTTAGAATGGAAAATTAAATATTACTTCAAATTTACTTTTGCTGGATAAAAACCCTGATTTTCTCCCAATCCACTTAGCATCCTATCCATTTTTAAAATGTGAAAATTTTACCACAGCACTTTCTAGAACTCTAAATGCCAGGGGCTGGGGATTTAGCTCAGCGGCATAAGCGCCTGCCTTGCAAGCAGGCAGTCATGAGTTCCATCCCTGGTACCAATAAAAACGAAAAAGACAAAAAAAAAAAAAAAAAAAAAGAAGAAAGAACTTTAAATGCCAACAGAATTTTCAAACTTTTAGAAGTAAATGAAAAGACTAAAGCAAAATGCCTGATCACAGATACACACTAAACAGTTAAATGTCAGCTAAGCAGACTTAAAAACCACTCACATGCCTAAAAAACTGAACTCAGAAACAATGATAGTCTTATAGTTCTGCAATTCTTATGCTATTGGCACCTTGATAGAAAAACAGACATGTACATGGCTCACACCCCCAACCCTGTTAATGTGCTCTCTCCTAGGTTTAAAATAAATGAAATTTAAAATAAATGAAAGAAAAACTCCCCAATCTACCAAAGATGACAGAAACACATACCCGTTAGGTATTTCTGGGGCTGCATAAGTGGGAGTCATGCAGAAATTTTGTTTATTCTAAAACCTATACTTAATGTTGATCTGTTTGGATGCTATACCATAAAAATAAGCCGCAATAAAACCCCCTACAATTTACTGGTCTCTAAAATCTCTGATAACTCTGCTCCACAAACCTAACTGTTCCCCTCCACCCATATAAATGCGACACACACAAGGCCTCATATACAGGCCTCTTGCCTTTTTTTCCCCCCTAACACAACTAGGACCTTTGTTCCCAGCGTCAGTTTTTTATCCTACTCAATAGCTCTTTCAACTTTCTACTACGCATTTTTGTTTTGTTTTTAGAGAGTCTGAGCCTCGACTTGCCAGGTCTTTAAATGAAACGCCAAAAATATCTAATGAGGCTCTAGAGAGGAATAGAAAGTTAAACACACCACTGAGGGGCCTACAAAACGGAGGAAAGCCTGGAGATCGGGTGATCTGGCAGCCCAGGCGAGATTGAGAGCGCAGGCTAGGAAAGGAGACCAGCGGGAGAGCAGTTAAGACGTTCACCCCCAACAGAACCACTGCGTGCTCAACCGAACCCCCGCCCCGCCGCCCCACGCACACGGTTACGTCCCCTCCCCCAATTAGCCAAGCAGCAAACTCTGCCCCCCCCCCCCGCCTCCCGCCTGACGCGACACCGGAGCTATGCCTCCCCCCAGACAAAGTACAACGGCATTATCAAAAACAAACAAATCTGTCTTCAGGGTTGGGAAGCAACCCCTCTCCCTACACCCCTCGCCCCACAAGGGTAACCAATTCCCTCTCGACACTCCCCCCTACCCCTGCACAGGGCATGTTTTTAAATGCTGACGAATTTTCTGCCTTCTACCCAACTAAGGATTTCTGTTGATTCTGAGGAAGAAGTGAGAGACACGGAAAAGCCAGGATTTGGGGGTTTTACAACCTTCTTGATTCGAACTCCCCTTCGAACTTGTTTCTTGTTTTCTGAAACCCCAGAGGAGGGGTTGAACGGACCGGACCGACGTTATAATAGGTTTTATGTAATCCACATCGAAATAAATTACTCGCCTGACTCGTTCTGAATGCTAATACGATTGGGGTGACAACCGGCCCACTACCCTGCCCCGGGTCCCAGCTCGCCTCCCCATCCACCAGACCCCGTGTTGGTGTATGTGGAAGGATGCGCGGTTCCCTCGGCCAAGTTCCCCGGCCTCTCCCGTCTCCGCCGGCCCCTCTCGCCGCCGTCCTCCCTCCGCCAGCGCCGCGGGCGCCCACTCGTCTGTTGCAGGAAGCCCCTTACTGCGGTCTGAAGTCCCTCGGCCTCCCCTCCTCGGACCCTCGCTCCCTACAACTGTTGTCACTCGAGCTACTCCCTACTTTCCATTTCCGGGCCGCCCCCAGCACAGAGCCTACCCTCTCCTGGTTTCCGGGCCCCCCGTCCCATTTCCGGGGAACCCTTGCCTTTTTCACACACCCCACCTGCACTTCCGGCCCCCCACTTTCTCTCCTCCTAGACGCCCTCCAAGCTCCCAAGCTCACTTCCGGCCCCCCAGGCTCCGCCGGGCTTCTCGAGACCCTCACACGCCTCACCCCAGTTCCGTGAAGGGCCCTCCTCATAGCGAGGGCCCGAGGGGGGAGCCGGTGACCCCCGCGCTCCCGCCGACCCGGTCCCCTCAGGCCGCGGTCCGCCTGGAGCGCCTCCCCGTCAAGCCACGGCCCGGTCCTTCCGCGGCCCAGCCGCTGCCGCCGCCGCCGCCGGGAGCAGGCCGAGCGGGGGCCCAAGCGCGGCGATGACACAAGCGGGCTTCCTGGGACTTTCTGTTCCAGCTCCTCCCCCGTCACCCCCACCCCACACACGGCCCCCTCCCCCCAGCCGGTCTCCGCCGCTCACGACTGCGCCCCAATTACCTAATTAGGCCCCAAAGTCTCCGGTCCCGACTCGGTGGCGCGGCAGTAACTTCCACTCACTCCCCACCCCACCCCCCCGGCGGCGGCGGCGGCGGCGGCGGAGGCAGCTCCTCGGGTCCCTTCAATTATCAGCTGAGCCGCAGCACCGCACCGCGGTGCGCCTCCGCCGCGCGCCTCCCTCCCTCCCTCCCCGCCCGCCCGCCCGCCCGGCACCTTGGAACTATTTCGCCCCTGGCCACGGCCGTCGGGCTCGTCCGCGGGACTACCCGCGCGCCTACTAGCGAGCTATCACATCGCTCCTCCCGGCCCCGCGCCGGACACTGCGCCCCGGCCGACCTGTGATCTCCTCACGATCCCTGTGAGGGACCAGGAAGGAGACTGTGGGGCTTCGTTCCATATCCCTCCGCCGGGGTCACCCCCTCCCCTCAGTGGCAGCAGGAACTAATTCCCCTTCGGGTCACCCAGGACTATGTCATGGAAATTTCACGGACAAGGACTTCTAGGGAACCTTGCAAGATGAAACTATCGCCCGAATTACAAATATCCCTGACAGCTCAAAAGCTGGGTTCAATTTAAACTAGGACTTTGACCCCCTGACCCCAGCAAGCCCCGCCCCTTCCTGGTTGTCTTAGCGACGGCGGTGGCGTCCCAAGATGGCGTCGTGGCTGCCGGAGACTCTGTACGAAACTGTAGGACAAGGCCCGGCGCCCAGCAAAGACTACTACCAGTTATTGGTCACCCGCTCTCAGGCAAGTGCGAGCCGCGGTTTACCCTTCCCCCTACCCCCCTATCTGGCCCGGTTGGGCCCCAAAACGCGGGCCGCGTTAGGCCGTGAGCGACCGTGGCCCGCCGGAAGCGCTCAGTCCCTCGCTGGAAGTAGAGATTTCCCTCGTCACCTCGGCCCGGAGGCCCGCGTGTCCCTACTCTCTCCTCTCCTTGTTGGTCTCCGGCGAGCCTTCGGCGTCTTTCCACAAAGCCGCCCGCTCCCTTCCCGCCGCTCCGGCTGCGTACCTGCGGCGTTCGCTCGCGCGCCAAGAAAAACAGGCGTCCTCGGCCTGCGTGCCGCCTCACCTCAGCGTGGGAAGGAGGGAAAGAAAGACTCAGCCAAGTGTCCCGAGGAGGAGCCGGGGGAAGGGAGGAAGAGAGGAAGGGACGGTCTTTTTTTTCCAGGGTAGAATTTAATCTTGGGGACTTTTTTGTTTAAGTCTCACGAACTCCACGGCTACCTCAACATTGCTTTATTTCTAGCAGGAGTGGGTGATGGAGAGCTCCCCCTTACCTTGTTGGATCCGCTTCTGTCCCATTGAAAGTGTGCGAGGAGGGGGGATACAAAAGTGTTTCAGCTGCCCTGTGCTTCGGCCCCACCCATAATGACATCTGCCGCACAACAATAAGACCGAGGATTATGTTATCGCTGGAGCAGAGTAACCGTCGGCCTATTTTATGCCCACTTTAGATGGAGGGTGGGCGTTGGATGATTTATTATTGTGCCCATGGAATAATCAAGTTGAGCTGGCTTCTGAGACCTGGCTGATCTTAATGCCTATCGCTGAGCTAGTCATGTACCTCGGGTTTTAAATAGATAATTGTGTAAAATGAAATTTAGAATTTTTTATACAGTTAGGTGCGGATATTGATTATTCCATCAGTTTTTCTAGGAGCCCTCAAAAGACCAGTGAATTAATTTTATTTCAGGGCATCTTTAAAATTAAAGGAATAATATGTACAATTTTTTTAAAATCTAAGACTTGGACATATTCCGCATGTAATATCAGCCTGTCATTTTTTAATTTTTTAACTTTTTAAGAAACTTTTATACATACAATTCGGAATTTCTTAAATGCTGAAGAGTCATTGACTCTTCCATTAGCTTTTTAAGTCTCTGATCCTGACAGTTCACTTTTTTATGTGAGTGATAAAAAGCATAATATTCCAGGCCTACATCATCTTTTATATTCAGCTACTGTAAGTCAGAATATTCTAATGTTACTTCATCGCCCGTCCTGTACTGTCAATCAAAATCTTTCATTTGAACATTGTAGTTTAATAAATTTAGAACCACGCTGGCATTAGTTTTTCTTCAGAGTGCTTCTGTTGTTGGTGCTTTTCAGGTTGTTTTCTTTTTACCGTTGTTTTGTTTTCTGAGATGGCTCCCTAGGTCACCTAGGCTGGCTTCCAACTCTAGATCCTCCTGTCTCGGCTTCCCAAGTGCTCAGATTATGTGCTTGCACCACTACAACTGGCTAAGACTTTGTTTTCAGGTTTAATCTGAGCACTTACCTTTTTCTATATACTATGTTTTGTGAAAGCTTCACCCTCATGCCCTCAGAAGTCTCTCTTTTTTTTTAATATCTAAAATCTTTTTACCCTCCTCCTACTGAGGGTAGAACTTCCGGTCCCTCACAAGTAGGCATTCTACCACTGAGTCTATATACCCCCAGTCGAAAAACCCTTCTTTATTTTGACCCTAGTTTTTCTGTCATGACTTGTATATTCCTTTTCAAGATTTGATCCACTTTCTTTATCAAGCTGTCTGAACAAATCCATAGTACAGTTCCGCTAGAGTGTGTTCATCTCAAATATGATTAAGTCACCCTCATTTTAAAGTAAAATTTGTTGTAAAAAGATAGCAAGCCAAAGAATATACTTTTCAGTCATGCTTTGGAGAATGTTATTTTCTAACCACAAGATAATTTTTCCATGTCTCAGTACAGGAAACCAAGCACCCAATAAGCAGTAGCCTGACATAAATAAGTACTAAAAGACTAGTATTAAAAAATGTTTTGTAAAATGCACTTTTTTTTGGAGTGACTTTCTACAGTTACTCTCTCCTCCCTTCTGCCTTCAGTCCAAACACTATTGTATATTATCCAGCATAGGAGCTTAATTCAAATTGGTGATTCCTTCATGCAGATTCCATTTTTCACTGCATTTTTTGGGTTGTTGGCTTAAAATACAAAAAATACACATTTAATATTAATATGAGGCCAACTGTGTCATTCATACCTTTGGCATAATCCAGAATATAATCTTTTTTAAAAATTTTAAACAGAAAAAGTAAAAATAACAACAAAACAGTTTCAAGACAAGCTAGTAAGAGAGTAACAATGTGGGGCTGGGGATTTAGCTCAGCAGCATAAGCACCTGCCTTACAAGCAGGCTGTCCTGAGTTCAATCCTTGCTACCGATAAAAATAAGACCAAAAAAAAGAGAGTAACAATGATTAATACATTGCATATTGTTATATTCATAGTGTTATTCAGAGTATAAGATATAGGCATGAAGTATTGTCCAAAAAAGGATTCACACAAAATTTTCTTTTCATTAAACTCAGAAACGAACTGTATAACTATCTTAACTATTTTCTGTGTATATATTTTCTTTTCCCTTCCTTCCTCTCCCCTTTCTCCCATCACAGTTTTTGTTTTCTTTTGAACAGTTTGTTTTGTTTTGTTTTGTTTTTGTTTTTGTTTTACCGGGGATTGAACTCACGACCTTGCACTTGCCAGGCAGGCGCTTGTGCCACTGAGCTAAATCCCCATCCAACAGTTTCTTTCCTATTCACAATATCTATTGTATGTTTTGGTTCTTGTTTACTCTTTTAGAGTTTTACATTGTGAGACAATACAACGTTTATATGTGTAAGTCTGGTTTATTCCACTTACAAGTATGGTCTTGAATTGTACCCATTTTCCTATGAAAGTCCCAAGTTTATCTTTCTTTATGGCTAAGTAGTATTCAATTATATATATATATATATATATAAACACATCTACTTTATCCATTCCTCAGTTGTTGGGCATTTAATTTTTCTGGGAAGATACCTAGAAATGGAATAGCTGGGTCAAATGGGACCTCTAATCCTCGTTTTTTTGAGAAATCTCCATACTGATTTCCACAGTGGTTGCACCAGACTATACTCCTACCAACAGTGGAGAAGGGTTCCTTTTACCCCACAGCCCTGCCAGCATTTGTTATTGGTTGATTTCTTTTTTTTTTTTTTTTTTTTTATCTTTTTCGTTTTTACCGGTATGAGGGATTGAACCCATGACTGCCTGCTTGCAAGGCAGGCACTTATGCCGCTGAGCTAAATCCCCAGCCCCGTATTGGTTGATTTCTTGATGATAGCCATTCTTGAACATATAAAGAATTGAAAAATATAGGCCCCCAAAATTTAAAGATACTCTCATCTCAGCAGTGGTAGAAAAAAAAAAAATTCAAAGATCCTATCCAAAAAAGATGAATACACACTTCTCAGATAAAGAAAGACTAAAAGAAGAAAAAATGTTCATTTGAGATACAAATTAAAACAACAGTGAGATTCCGTCTCCAGAATACAAATATTTATGAGTAAATATTTCCTAAAAAATGAATATCAGTAAATAAATTTTTGGGCAACCCATTTGGGACCCCTTCTGTCTCAGACAGGAGCTTTCTTTCTCTCAATAAATATATTCTGCTCTTAAAATAAATATGCATTTGCTTTCTTACACATATAACATTAAAATACACTTTTATGTATATAGAAATGTTCTCCATTAACTATTTGAAGCTGGGTGTGGTGGTGCACATCTGTAATTCTAGCACTCAGGTGGCTGAGGCAGGAGTACCTCAAGTTCAAGGCCAGCCTGAATTACATAGTGAGGTCCTATCTCATAAAGCAAAACAAAACAAAAATTGATACCATGTTGTTGATTTTCATGTATTATTCAGGTTTTTAATTTTATTTTTATTACTTTTTTTCAAAAAAAAACAACTTTCTAAATTTAGTTTGGGCCCAATAAAATTAATTCTCAAATCTGATCTTTATAATAGCAATCCCAAAGCTTAGAAAAATTAGTGCACTGCTTTCTTTTTTTTTTTTTTTTTTTTGTCTTTTTCATTTTTATCGGTACTGGGGGTACCAGGGATCGAACTCACAACCACCTGCTTGCAAGGCAGGTGCTTATGTCGCTGAGCTAAATCCCTAGCCCCAAGTGCACTGCTTTCTAAATCAAATATTACCACTCTCTGGGCATGGCAGTGCATGCCTGTAAACACAGCACTTGGGAGACCAAGGCAGGAAGACCACTGTGAATTCAAGACCAGCCTGGGCTACATCTCAAAAAACCAAAAATAATAATATATGTATAAAATCAACTGATTCTTACTTTAACATTATATATTTTTACATATATTATGTTATGAGTCTTTTAACTCAAAAGGAAGTTCATGAGGAATTGCCAAGTTAATGAATAATAAAGACACTTTACAAGTAGAAGAACCAAAAAAAAACTCCCTAGTCCATAATATAGCAGGGCACCATTAGCGATATTTTGCACTCCAGTTGGGAATGTAGCTCAGTGATAGAGTACTTACTTACCTGGCATAGATTTTATCCCTAACACCTCAAAAGAAAGAGGGAGAGAGAAAGAGAAAGGAATTGTGTGTTTTCTTTTTCTCCAAATAAAAGTTTGCTTAAGGTGGCCAAAACTGGTAAACTGGGTTTAATGCGAAATACACTGCACTTGAAAGTTGTTAAAAGCAGGAACCCTAGGTTATGGAAATGCAAATTGGCAGGAATGGCCTCTCGAAGGGAACCACACAGGCGGTCATCCTGTGAGCACCAACATGCCCAACCAGTCTTCTTTCAGCAGGTGAGGGAGGAGGAACTGGGCATAAATTAGTCGTCCTTCATCTGTTTTACTAAATCCTACTCAGAACTCAAAACTCATCTGAAGCCAATAGCTGGGGGCAGAGAGAGAGGACA